ATACGACGTGAAAACGTTGCCGCCTTCTACCAAACGATATGAAAAATTTAAAAAAAACTTCCCTGACGAGTACCCCAAACGAAGGCAACGATAATTATTGTACAAAGCGAAGGGGCGTTTTCCTCGAACACCCGACGACTATTAAAAACTATTTGCTGCAAGTGTTCTTGTTAAAACTTTAACAATCAAAATTAAAAAAATACCGTTACTATGTAAACTATGTACGTTTTAATTGAAAAGGTCGTCGAAAGTGTATTTTATTTAATAAAATATGTACATATAAATTTACACGCAAGTATAGCTAATATTGACTGAATGGAATTCGGTCTTGCAGCCATGGTTACTGAAATAAAGTTTAGTTTACAATTAAAAAATTGTTTTCCATATTTGATCTGCTATTATAAAAGGCTCTATTAAAAGTTTTCACATAGGTATTACATATTATATTTTAACAGATGCGTACGAGTCCACAACACCACGGGATACATTTTTATGTATCTTAGGTGGCTAGTAAACATATCAAGTTTCTGGCTATTATTTTAGTGATTTCATAATATCTGGCCTAAAATAATTCATAGAGAATTTGGCCCCTTAAATTATTGAATTTATTATTCATTTCTATTTTGAACGTTGTGAATACAACATATATGCCCTCCACCCCCATTCCCATTCCCAACCCTAACCCCATCCCTCATCTCTAATCTCTAATCTCCTATCTCTTACCCCTATCTCCTATATCCTATCACATAAATGTAACATCCCCATTCCCACTCCCAATCCAAATCTTGTGGAAAAGATATTACGCCCAAAAAATGCGAATAAGACTCTCGATTGTGTTGTAACATTTATATTTCGCATCAATGATAAAAGAAAATTGTCATTGCGCGTTTTTAGTTTACCTTAATTTGTTTTTTTTTTAATTTAATTGGAGTTAAAACATAAACGGACGTACGACGTGTACTAAAATTAACTATGTATGACTAAAAAGTCAAGAATACAATTATTTTCTCATTTTCGAACTTTCTATGCTGAACAATTTATCCCTTTTTCCTGCGCACATCTAGCGAACTATTGGGAATACTTACCCTCATTTATCAATGAATCGCGTCTAATCGCAATAAATATCATTATAAACATCAAGATTGCCAACTCTAAGGAAAAATGAGTCTTAGGCCTCGGGCTATTTCTTCGACATTTGTTTTTTTATTTGCTCGTACTGTCTGTCTAATACCATACACACACACACGCCCATGCCTTCACAAAAATAAGATATTTGTGTTTTGATCAGTATACAAAGTCCGAAATAAGCCTCTGTACAACAATGTTAGTAATTTAGATTTCTTTTTTAGAAATTGTTTAGAAATTGTGTTGTAAATACTTTTAAAAATGTATTTTTTTTTGCACTTTTTAACATCACATGCGTGTGATTACCAACTCAGTCGGTCGACGAATAACAAGATGAAACGGTATTCCAGACAAAACCGCATTAACGGCTTGCGTGCGTTCCTTTCCGACCACATTTATCAAATCCTATTTATTTATAAAAATTAAACTCATTATATGTCCGCACGTGCAACGCCACGATGATATCACGTATCCTGTTCTTTTAAAATAGGAACATAATATGTTTTTAATTCCTTAAATATGTAGAAAAAATTTTTTTTTTAAATGTTAGCGTTTGAAATTTTTTTAATTTTCATCAATCTGTTCGTTTGCTATGACTTTGTAAAGATTTGAATTTAATATTAATATTGGTTCGGTTTTCACATCAGTAGCACAGCAATTTACCATTAAATAATATTGACTGCTGTTGAAAACAGATATGAACAGATATAATCCTAGTAGTATAAGGCAGGTCTTTGGATAATATACTCGGTTATCATTTAAACCGTACGGTTGATAAGGAGTTTGTACAATAATATTGTAAAATATCAGAACAATAATTGTTGTGAATGTGTTAAAACTTTCGTGGATTGATATATCAGTTGAGTAATTTTCGGATATATCCACGTCACATGTTTTATCACAGTATGGTCACGGCATTTGAACAGTCGAGACCACTATTGCCCTGAAGATGGACTCTGCAAAGAGTCCAAAACGTCGGCATAAAATATGTGACGTGGATATATCCGAAAATTACTCAACTGACAATAATTGTTATACTAGTTCATGCGGCTACACTGATATCTTTGCGACTCAGTGTGAATCAGTGTTTTTTTTTTTAAATTTCCTTTGTTTTCGGCCGTATCGGCTCGTCTGATTTGGATTTTTGTCTGAAAATTTCACACTGTCTTATCGACTCCTCGGTGGCGTTCAACGTTGTAAAGGAGGGGGATGGTCCTCAACGGCTATACCGTCCCGTTTCGATACAATACACACCAAGCCGTCGGCAGTAACGATAATATATTATAAATATTTCATCTCGCGTCATAGTTGGGAACCATTAGCGATCATATAGTTTCTGAGAATGTCGGGCGCGCTAAGTTTTTGGGGATATCCGCCGCTCGCACGAACAATGGCAAACTTTCGCCAAAGCGCGGATCATTCGGATATAATATGTACACAACTTTTGCACGAACATGACGGACGTGCTACCCTCACCGCCGCAAATACTCTGTTCGTTTGGTTTGACTTGGCTACTCCTCGTCCGGTAAACGTCGCGTGAGAACCGACCGAGCAAAAGGAGAAAAACGTTCTGCGAAAGTTTTACACGGGGCGACCAGACTCTAGACAGCTCCGCTGCTGTTCTTATCCCGTTTCCGTGGCATAATCAGCCCATAGAAACGACCGGATCGAACCGGCGTTGTTCGTCGTCTATTCGACGGGTCCACTCCAACTGTTGTAGCTTTAAAATTGAAAAAGATGTAGTCAAAAGACAAACAAATATATATCATCGAGTCAATTGCAAATATTAACCGATCACGTTCAAATTTGGACGTTTTCTTTCTTCTCGAAGATTTTATGGCGAGCGAATCAAATTATATCAAATGACATCAACAGTGCGGGTGCGCGACTCGGTTGACAAACGGCCAGGGGAGTTTAATTATCGTTATTACCGCTTGTCGGTGTTATATATATTTGAGGCTTAAAGGCGCGGTTCTTATTAACGAAACACACGTTCTCTTAATTAATAAGTATAAGTGTATATTGCAATAGTCACGGCCCCGAAATCAACGAAAATGTGGTCGTTTGAGGAGAACGCGGCGCGACGTGCGGATATCCGCAAACTTCATTGAAAATTAAAATAATTTATTTTTCTCAGAAAATGCCCGTCATACACTGGCATGTGTCTCGATACCCATGTAAATACACATTTTGAATTGAACCTATTCAATACATGCAAACTAAGTCTATTAATATAAATTTAATTAAAAATAACTAAAAAAACAGTGATCAAAATAAATCGATATTGGCGCCATTCATAAAAAGGATTATGCTTTTCAAATAACAGCCCACGATTAGTATTTATGCATATATTGCACGTTTTGTATGATATTTTATATTATTATTCCGGTTCGGAGAACATTTCATATTTGTATTGCATTGTATTGTACGTGCACAACGAGTGGAAGTAATAGATGGTGAAAAAAAAAACCAGATATTTATATTAAAAAATAAATAAGCTCTGTATAGGTAATATTGTTTTTTATCCAATACTTACTATTGAATACCGCAGTAAAAAACTAATAAATTAATATTTATTAGTATTTATTGTAGTTGAACATTGTTTTGTTCACACACTACAGACTACTCACTAATGTTTTTTTAAACTAATAAACTATTGTCAAGTACAAGCCTATTATCTCATGTGCTTTTAACTATAGTTTTTATAGTTAATAATCACATTAAAATTCTAGAACCATTTTTAGAAAAGAAAATTGTTAAAGACTAAAAAATTGAAAAAACTTAAGCCTTATTTGTCTTTATATATTATATACAATAAATGATTACATAAATTGTATTTTGATCCAAGCATGCTCTGATCTTTTGTAGCATTTATTGTTTTTTTATTATTACTATAGATTATAAATAATATTTTATGTTATAATAAACTTATATTGTTTTTTTTCAATAGTTCTCGAAACAACGATAAAATGCTAAATCATGGTTACCGGAAATTAAATAATAAAGTCAATAGCCAAGCTACCAAAGATATTAAAAGACAAATATAATATTTCGAAAACAAATTTTAACTCTTCAATTTAGTTTCACAACACAGTAAATATTAGGCTATGATTCAAACTTTGCAATAATCCAAGTGCTCGTTAAATTAATAATACTTAAACTAAATATACTTCAATAACATTGTCCATAAACTCAAAGCAACTAGTTTGTAATTTAATTAGATATGTATATACAAAGCGAGACCGTTGGTGTGTTCACACAAAGGTAAAAACCTACTTTGCTGACTTGACGAGTCTTTCGCTATTGGCTTTCCTATGATTTCCTGAAGAAAATAGGTTATTATATTTTATTATCCCAGTATCTCCTGGACAATTGTAGAGTATAAGAAAAAAAATTACTTTAAAGTAACCAGCATGGAGTGTATTTCATTTTTCTTTTTATAATTTGAAATTGATAATTTTTAATTAATTACTATGGACAATTACGTTTTTTTTTTAAAAATGTTTAGCTGATGAATATTAAATTATGTAGGTCTTCTAAAGGAACACTGTGGTACATAATATAATTGTTTTACTCAATTTTTTTTTATAGTTAATCGAAGGGCATAACGCACGGTTATAAGTGTAAGACATAGTGTAGGTAGAAGTGCATTTTTTTTTATTTTACACGAAAGACGTTTGAAAATTCACAATGCCAACACGTAGCCAGGTTAGTCTCGGTAAATGTGTAATCTATTGCTCGATTTTCCCCATCCCCCAAAAAAATGCACTTATACGTGCACACGTGCACTACGCCATCGACAGATAATATTAAATACAACAATACATCATAACTAGGTACTATATATAATTATTATCATGGAATTTTGTACTCACGTGTTGACCACGACCAGACGTTTCGGCGAGCTTTCAAACTTAAACGACCGTGTTTTTTTTTATTATTTGTAATATAGTCTTACGCGATATTATTGATATATATATATATATATATTATTTATTGCGATTTTTTTTTTCCAATAGCGAAAAACGGGCACTTTGCGCTACCTATATGATATTACATAACGGGTGGGCTTTCGATGGAAAGTGCACAAGCATACAATCGGCGGCGACCCGACGACGACGCGGGCTGAGCGTGTAAATAGTGGCGAGTGCACACGGGCAATGAGGTGCAACACTTGATGACGCGAAGTTTGCCTCTGTGAGCGCGTTTTCCCGGCTTTTCGCCGCCGCCGCCACCGCCTTTGCCACGCACACACACCGCGTCCCCCTGGAAACGGGCTGACCAGTGCGGGCCGGAGAGAGAGAGAGCGAAGCGCGCGCACACACAACCAGCCAGCAACCCCGTCGCCTTTGCACTTACACACACGATGGCCTTTGTCCGTCCTCCCTACCCCTCGGGAGTAAGGGTTTTTCCCATTACCCCACCCCCATCGTTCGCGCCCCACAGGTGACGGTAGCACACTCGGCGGACCACCTGAGGTTTCTGCCATGTACCTGCTAAGTTGTTCTGCGTACACACGCCGCGAAGACTTTTTGTTCTTTTTACTCACGACCTTTTTCGCCGAACCCCTGACCTCCCCCCTCCACCCTCTTGCTATCTTTCCCCACCGGCTAAGTTGTTGTCGGCGGTTTCCACCACAAAAATGCGTACCTACGTCATAAGCGGGACCTGTATAGTAATTTATGTAATAGTATAGCAACTGAAAAAAAAAGATAACGATAACTTTCGTTCAGAGTTCATCATTCGAGTAAAAAAAAAAAAATTGCATTCAAGTAATATTATTTGCAATTTATTCGCATCATTTTTTTTTTGTGATTCACACGAATAAAAATAAATATAATGTTTTTTATTTCATTCCACACGTTCTTCAGTTTATTTAAGTTGCTATTCGTTATTGTTTGTAGCCCAACTCTGTTTTCACTATCATACCCTTCGTTTTTATTAACTACCGATATAGAGCAGTAAATGTGTTTTAAAGTTTTGTTATGTGTTTTAGATACACATTATCGCGCGTTTGAGGGGGAAGTTTTGCAGATCTGTACGATTGAAGAATACTTACATATAGGTAGTTAAGAAAAAGGGCAAAATATTACTTTTTTTTGGCCTAAGAACCTTTAATGTACGATTTTTTACCAATAAACTTTCTACATATCAGCAATTCTTCAGCAAATCGATGTGGGGTTTCCCTCGATTGTTCCTGACAACAAGAACAATAGTATAAGTTTAGATCATGGGTAACAAATTGCGTTTATCATTAAAACGATTGCAGTGTAATGTCGCTTAATACCGTCCATATTAATACCCACTAGAGCCTCATGTGATGGTCGGTATCAAAAGGGTTTTGCATTAAACGAGCAAATTCGGTTATTGCTAGTACTTATTATTATAGAGCTCCCTGTTTGTCCCATGACCGGTAGGGTTAGAAGTATTAAAAAAATCAATTACCGTCATGCGACCCCGAAACTAGGAAAACGAAATACCGCTTTGTACTTAACGAAACCCATTAAATTTGTTGTAACAAAATTTTTATAATTTAATCGAAAAATAATACTTATATTCGAGGCGCTTGGAATATATTTGAATTTTAAATTTGTCACGAAGTTATATTGCTATGAACAATTTAAAAAAATACAAATACAAGTACCACTTGTATCATGTACTTTCAATTAAGAAAACATGATTTATAAACAAAAATGTTTATAATATGTATCGCGATAAATGTGTAGTAAAAAGTAATCAATTCTTGTTGAAACTTTTTAAAAAAATTATTCAAATTACATTGTTTTTTTAATTATAATTTACAGTTTATTGCATTATATAAACATCACGTGCAATATTTCTATCTTATATCTACTACAAAACATTAAGCGGAGAAGAAATGAAAAATTCCTAAGGTCGTTCCTAGGTTTCTTCATCGTTTATTATTCTACTTGAGTGGGGTAGACCATCCTAGTCCCTTTTTTCTTAAATTTTCCACCCGTCGCCGTCTGTTTTACCACCGCACAAACATCCGTGTCTCCACTTTTATAACATCTATCTAATTTGTCATCAGTCAAGCTCTATTTCTCCTTTCTCTCCAAACATCCGGTTTTGAGTGTAATTAAAAAACTCATTTAAACAAATGTTTTTACAATATTTATTCGGAACTTAAAAATTATCAATTAACACAATACTGAAACACCAAAAATATAACTTTAACAATACATTTTGGGAGATTATTTTGTACCTAGTTTTTTCTTTTAGTGGATCTAATGTTTTCATGTAAACACCACATTGTAATTTGTATGAATTTCAAGGCTAGGAAGTTCATTTTATCATTTAAGCGCGCGTTTTAACTTCTTATGATTAGCAACTATAATAAAAAGTATAAATATACCTAACAACTACAAAGTAATTGTACATAATTGTATAATTGTAATAACTTGTATCACAATAAGAAAATAACGGGCAACTATAACTTTAACACTATTGTGTTGCTGTTCGCAGAATAATAAGGTTGACATTTTGTGTCGGTATATTTTTTATAATAAAACTGGCAATAATTTTGTGCATCTTTTTGTATTTATCATTTACATTAATTGAAAATTTAGCAAGCGCGTTATTGTTATCTCTATTCATTCTGTTCGGTCTAATCACGCGTGTATGTATAATATGTTATTATTTGCATATCATTACACTAACAATGAAAATGTGTTCGTACCAAGGGCAAAGTTTAAATAACATAAGCAGATTATTTATTGACGATACATGTCAGTTTAACATTAAACGGTAACGTCTATTATTTATCAATATATTTGAATTCCGAATTCATCGTTATACCTACATACATATGTAGTTAGTACATGACGTGTTCAAGGTACATACTATATGTGTATATAATATTTAGAGTACGAATGTAAAAGTTTAGAGTTAAACGAGTGTTACCGAACAAACATACTGTTTAATTCAACAGAAAAATAAAATTGATATTTTCGATTTTAATGAGGAAAATTAAATAAAAACCCCGTCGTGACATGGTATATTTCTGAGACGTATAATTTAAAAACAAACCCAATTAAAAAAAAAAGAAAACGTTTTCTTATAAATAAATTGTTTAAACGAGCTGTTAATACTCCAAAAGGACGCCTAACGAAGTACAAACATAATAATGTATATATAAATAAAATAAGATTTTTATTATTGGTTAATATGAATAAATACGGTAATCCCAAACTCAAAGGGGAAGTGGATTGAAATAAACACTTAAGGTTTGCATTGCTATTTTGATAAAATCGCTGCATGGCATCGTTTACAGTTGAAAGGATTTTTTTACGCCCAAAAGTATTTAGTATTGTGATAAGATCTTTTTTCCCCGTTTGTGTTATTATTGAAAATCGGGGTTTATATACTCTCGAGAAGTACAATACAATGTTGTACGGGTGGGAAAAAAACGATTTTCTTAATAATATAACGAGATTTGCTTTGCGTGTCACATTCAAGTAATTTGCTTACAAATTACCATAATTATACGTTTACGAGGTGCGGTTTACGATTTTTTAGGGGTAGTATAATACACAGTGTAACTACTAATATGTATTTAAGTAATGGCTAGTAAATAAAAAAATGAAAACGCTGTCTAATATCTCCAAATGTTGAGTTAAAAATACAACGGTGACGGATACGAAGCTCCCTTTGGTAATTTCGTAATTTGTCTCAAGTATGTCTCATTATTATTGGACTACCTATAAAAGCGGTGTATGCCAAAATAAATACTTGCAAAAACATGATTTACCAATTTGTTGATAACCCAGGCGAATTAATTTTTACACCACTGTGTTCACTTAAAATAATGTGATTTTGTTTAATTTTTTTTTTTTGAAAATTGTTGAAACTGTTTTGGCTTTAGTTGTTTTTCGAGCAGAGCGGAACACAAAAATGGAGTTTATATTGAAATTTACTGAATTAAATTTTCCTTTCACACTAAGCCGCTGTACTTGCGGTGTAGGATATGCATGCATCGAGATAACACACTGAACATTTATTATCACAAAACCCCACTACGTGAAGTCAGTTACCATTACTCTCTGATGTGAGTTTTACTAGATGATAATATATAAATTATAAACGCCAGAATGCTTTAAGGTTTTTTTTTATTAGCCGAGTTCGTTCGAATGAAGCTGGCAAATAAAAACAAAATTCTATATAAGTCAACCCGTATTATATTATTAACGCATTGGTTTATTAAAAATAACATTTTTTAAAAACCAAATTTCAATAATATCAGTTTATGTCACGTTGTTTGTGTCGAAAAGACAATATTATTTTACCGAACAATCGTTAATCAAACGGCGCTTTGCATAGGCAATTGTGCTACACCCAGGAAATTATTTAGATCTCCTTTCAACTGTCTCTACCGGTATGCTACTGTACAACAATTCTAAGTACTTATATTTTACTAATAAACATTAAATATTAGAACAAACGACATACAGAGTGATTTAATAAAAAAGCTTAATTATAATAAAATTATACTGAATGGGTTAAAAAATAAACTGGTATAGTTGTCGGTTTAAATTTCCAAAATAAATTCCAATATAATATTAAAAAACTCTATATTGTCGATTGAATATAGAAAATCATATTAATTCAAAATTATCTTAGACATTGTGTTTTTAAGTTAATTTGAAAAACGGTTCACAATCCATATTCCCCGTTCATATCTTTTTAGTATATTTAAAAATTAAAAATTTTTCGGGGTGGCATTTAAAAAAATATTTTAACTTATGTTCAAAGAAGCTTCATCAAAGGTAAATTTAATTAATTTCAAAGCCACTCGACTTTTCTTAAGTTTATTAAAACCGTTAATATAGTGTATACAATATAACAGTAGCAAAAAAAAATAGTTTTTAATTTTACACCAGTGTTTGAAATGCTTTCATGTTTCTTGTAATATATTCTCTTATTATTATTTGTGGTTATTAATTATCACAAAGATGTATTTCGCTTTGAAATTAGTTACAAATTATATTATATGTTTAAGAAAACTTTTAAAAAAAGTACAAAATAACTAAGACATAATTAATATAATTAATTGTTTAAACAAGTGTGGTGTAAAATGAATGAAATATTATACTTTCATTAATGATTTTTTTAATATAAAACTTTTAATAAAACCAGTAACTTAAGGGCGAGAAATATATTAT